CCAGCAGGGCAGGGCAGGGTGCCCCTCAGGCCAGCTCTCCAGTTGGGGCTGGCTCCTGCCCACAGCCCCAACTCCACGTCTCCCTTGGAGGCTGTTGGTGTTGGCACCACGTGCAGCCGGGGCGTTTGGGGAGGAAGAGCTGTGTGTTTATAAAACATGGCAATTAAAACCCTTCCCTCTTCCTGATTATGGAACAGGCCCTTCTGGCTGCTTTTCACATCATTTTCTACTTTCTAAGACTAACACTTTACATTTTGCTGCGTGCCCGCACCCATGCGAGCACCAAACCGGGCTGATCCAGCCCTGCCATGGCACTGCCAGGGGGTGACACCAGAGCCAGGGATGGGGAATCCTGAGGGACATGGGCAGGCTGCAGAGCTGGGACCACGCCACAGCCACGGAGTTCACAGGGCTGGGAGAGCTGGGGGTGTTCACCTGCAGAAGAGATACCCGAGAGCCCCTTCCAGGGCCTAAAGGGGGGTCAGGAGAACTGGAGAGGGACTGGGGACAAGGGAATGCTCCCCACTGGCAAGATGGCCTGGCAATGATGCAGCCTCCTGCAGAGGCAGGGCTGGTGTCCTGCTCTTCCCAAGCCTCAGAAGGTCAGTCCATGCTAACTCACGTCTGTCCGTGTGGCATGGGGAGCTGGTGACCAAACCATGGGTGAACTGGGAACCTTCCCCAGGGCTCTCCACTCCCCCAGGCCACTCCTGAAGGGACACCCAAACCACACGGGTCTGGAAGAACACCGGATGCCCTGAGGCTGATTTGGAGAGATTCGGGGCTCCTCTCCTACCCTGCAGGAGCTCTCTCGTGGCTCAGAACTTTGGCTGGGCCTTTCTGTGCTGGCTGCTCCTGTTATCTCCGAGGCAGCGAGCAGGGACACGAGATGGTCTCTGTGTTTGTGCTGCCCTTGGACACGACTCCAGAAGGAAAAATGAAGCCAGGCTAAACTATATCTCCCAAAATATTACATGGTTATCTTGTTCCGAGCCTGTGCTTGTTGTTGTTGCAGGGAAGAACGTGGCAACGCTGTAGCAAAGTTTGGATCTTAGGAAGGGAAGGTCGTGTTATTGTAAAAGTGGGTTCATTCAGATTAACCCCCTCCTGACCACGGAGCTCCTGAGCCCTGGCTCATGTCAGCCCGAGGGGTTCAACCAGGGAAAGAGACCTGAAGGGATGAAGGACTGGGAGAGATTTCCTGCCACCCCAAGGACAACCCCTGGGTATTTGCAACACAAATGCCAGGAATGAAGATTGTCTGGGAGCAGCAGCAAGAGCAATAAAACAAGGCTTTAAAGAGCTGCCAGGTGCTGATAATCAACTGCACCATCAACAGCAATCAAACCAAGCCCGGGAGGAATTTGGTGCTTTCATCAAGACCAAAAAGAGCCTGAATATGGGACACAAGTGATTTAATCAGCAGACAACCCTGAAGTGGTAACAGAATGGTCCAACATTTCAGCAGCCACGATGGGCTCCTCATTGCCCCCTCCCTGCTATCTCCCTTCCTCTGTTATCTCCACGGGCTGCAGCTGCAGGAATACCCAAATGAAGCAACAAAGACCAGCACCAGCCACTTTGCCTAAGACTGATGGAAGATTAAACCTAAAGATCATAGCACAGAATCGTCCTTTGTGTGGGAAGGGGCCTTAAATCTCATCCACACCTTCCACTGCCCCAGGCTGCTCCAAGTCCTGTCCTGGCAAGCCTGGGTACTTCAAGCAGGCTATCCCAACACCTTCACGGAACAAAAGCTTTAAAATGAATGCCAAATTGGCTTTCAGTAAATCTCCCTCTCCAGAACGTCCAGCCCTGATGTTTGCTCCAGCAGCTTCCCCAAGAGACACCTGCTGCCTGGTCCAACCCAGGGCTGTGACTCCTGGAGTCCTGAGGAGCACCACCACCACCACCTCCACCCCTCTGAGCCACGGGGAACCTTCTGTCTCCATCCCTTTGGTGCCTCCAGCCTGCTCGTTATCTCCCCACCATCACTCACAGGCAGCATCTGCAGAACAGAGTCCCCTCCCTCCCAAAGGGTGTCCTTGATGGGCCATTAACTGGGCACCCCAAAACGGGCCAGCTTCCCATCCCTCCTGCTGCCCCCATACCCCTCCTGCTGCCCCTTCCATCCCATTGCCGACCCTCCCATCCCTCCTCCTGCCCCTTCCATCCCTCCTGGCACTCTCCCATCCCTCCTGCTCTGCCCCCACATCCCTCCTGCCCCTTCCATCCCTCACTCCTCAGGCCTGCTGTCCCCACCAAAGGCACTCTGCAGCCTCTGTTCAGGGGGTCCTGCTGCCACTCCAAAGGTGCCACCACCCAGATCATCAAAGGACACTGAGGCCCATGTGCTAAAGCAGAGCTGGAATTTCACTGAGTTACCGAGCCTGGAAAAGTCCTTGGCCACCATCGAGTCCAGCTGTTGTCCCCAGCACTGCTAAGGCCACCACTGACCAAGTCCCCAAGTGTTGCATCTGTGAAATCCATCCAGGGAAGTGACTCCACCTGTGCCAGGGCTGGACAACACCTTCCACTAAGGAATTCTTCCCAGTATCCATCCTGAACCTCCCCAGTGCAATCTGAAGCCATTTTCACCTAGCAGGGAAGGCAGCTGGGGTTGGTTTTGTAACAGATTACAAAGACGAGTCTGAGGGTGGTTCTGGCTGGCACAAGCCACCCAGAGAAGCTGGGGAGCCTCCAGCACGGGGCCACCCAAAACTCAACGGGACACGGCCCTGGACCAGCAGCTCTGCCTGGGCAGGCTGGACAGGACGATCTCCAGAGCTCCCCTGCGACATCACTTCATTCCAGACCTTTCCTTTCTCATGGGAGATTCTCTCTAACGAGGATTTTGTTTGTTTAATTTCCCTTGATTTCCTCCTGCGAGGTCCCATTATCTCCAATAATGCCCCATGCTCCTTGCAGCTCGAGCTCTGCAGCAGCAGCAGCCCTAGGGACAGCACTGAACAGCAGCTTAATTATTACAATTGTCATTTACATAACTGGCTTTTATAAACACCGGGAGGGCAGCCAAGGAAAAAAGCCCTATATTTGGGGAAAAAGAACTGTTTACATATTTCACCCGTGTAAACAAGGGCTCGGCTGAACTTCCGTGCTCAGGGTTCCTCCCCTGAAACTCTGGGTTTCAACTAAAAAATGCCAAGGACAACTTCAGGAATTCTAACAAAGGCTGTGAGGGATGTGTCCAGAGATTTCCATTCCCTCTGGAGGAGTAAGGAATAGCAAGGGGAACCCTGGGATATCTTGCAAGGCTGCACAGCAGCAGCACAGAGAGCAAGGCTAAAAGGGCACAGTAATAATCCTGGGCTTGCAGCTCTGGTTCCCAAACATCAGAGCCTGGTGGAGCTACCAGAGTCTCCAGCCATTCCCACTGTCAGGAAAGCCCTCAGAGTGGGGTTATACTGCTATACTTCAAGCTGACACTGTACAGCTTATTTACCACAGAGAGAACTGTCAGACTCCAGCTGTAATGCACCACACTTGGCCACGAACACGTGGGAAATTCACATATAAATCCTTTTTTTAAAAAAAAAAAAAAAAAAAAAAAGGATTTATCAAACAGAATCAGGATTTTAGCACATGCTCATTCTCCTGTACCTTTCGACCTACTTTCCCTGGCAAACTCTTTCCCTGGGAGGTGCAGAGCCAGGGCATGAGTCTTGCTCTGGGCAGGCAGCAACCCAGAGGGCAGGGCTGGATGGGAGATTGGGAATTGGGAATTGTTCCCTGGCAGGGTGGGCAGGGCTGGGATGGAATTCCCAGAGCAGCTGGGGCTGCCCTGGATCCCTGGCAGTGCCCAAGGCCAGGCTGGACACCGGGGCTGGAGCAGCCTGGGACAGTGGGAGGTGTCCCTGCCATGGCAGGGGTGGCACTGGGTGGCCTGTGAGGTCCCTCCAGCCCAAATC